AATGGTTTAGGTCTTCCATTGTCAGACAACAACTGGCATTTTTAATTTAATAAAGACGCATCTACCTCAACCGCGGTGTCGGTTTGTGTGCACCAGTTGCAAAAGGCATTTAAGGATTTGGAGAAGGTGCGGTCTGTTCCCCTTCCTCCCCGACGTTAGCAGCCATGGCGCTGTCCACAGGCACAGAAATTCCTTTCCAGGAGCGCAGGTGATCAGGTTACACCCCAAAGCCGGGGATCTGATGGCTCTTATTGTAGGAGCCTGAAAAGTTACAAGTGTCCTGAGCGGTCATTCAGTTTCTCTACTTGGCTCCTAAAAGGGGCTCGGGCATTGGACGCAGAGATGGCTGTCAATCCCACGTTCTGAACGTGCATTTTCAGGGGGCTGCGTATCCGTCGATGGGCTCTGTGTGCTTTTGCCCCGAGAGTGACTCTCAGTAATGAACACAGAAGCTGGACCCAAGAATCCTGATGGAAATTCGTGGAAACGCGAGTCTTGGCCCGGAGTGTGTGTGAGTATTGGCACGCCTGCCGGGCCTCCCCCACCCCTTCTCTCTCGGCTGTGTTCGAGCAGTTTAATTCTGCATCTAGTTTTAATCGGTAAACCATAGCCCTTCCCGCCGTTGTAAACATGTGTTAGCACTTACCCAGCAGGAGGGGGTTGCCTGAGGTAAGAGCAGGGATAGCACAGAGCAGGCATCTGAGAAATGGCTTTGTGTGATCTGGCGCCCTAGCCGGGGCTTTATGAGCCCGGGCCCGAGCTGTAGGCCCAGGGCTTGGAGACGCTTGGGCTGTGAGCATAGTGGAATCTTTCATTCTCATTACTTGGTGATGTTTTGTTCAGGAAACTTTTCACAGGGAGGGGTGGTTGAAAAGACTCTGAAAGAATTCACGGCCTGCTTTCCTAGAGAGAGAGAGAGAGAGAGAGAGATTAGAAGGCGTGGATTTGTCCGCAGGGGATGGGAGATGACTTGGAAACTGTGATTAAGAACCATTAAAATATACTGGATTGTCATGGCATTGGGGAAGTCAAAGAAAGGATTAGGAAAAATACATATTCAGCGGCTAAATAAATGGTAGCTGTCCTTACTGGCTAGAACGTATAATCTTAAGAAAATAAGAAAAATCTGTTTAGAACCAGGAATTTTTTTCTTACCTTAAGGTCAGAACGTTGGGTTTTAAAGTCAGCATCTAAGATAAAAATCATTTACAGCCAAAAATAACCCTTGGAAATCCTGTAAACTCTTGTAAAGTTCAAACCACGCGTTTCGTTTGGGGCCCGTGGCGGGGAAAAGAGTTAGAATCATTCCCCGAACTTTTCCATCACGTTTTCCTCACCGGGCGCATCCCTGCATGTTGCTCCCCACGAGGAATCGGCCCCTCGGTGGTGGCGCTCCCGTGCGTGTCCTGAGAGTTACAGCCATTTATACACATTTTCTTTCCTGCTAACCAGAGTCCAGAGCAAGAGGAAGTATTAGGGGAGTCAGTCCCCACCCTGGAGCCGCAGGATGAGACAATCACCTGGCGTTTCTGTTCCAAGCGGGTGGGAAAAACCTAACAAAAGAGGCAGAGAGGGAACGTTTCTCAAGTGTTGTTTTAAGGGCACGGGCGCCAATGACCTGGGAGCTGACGGGCCCTTCACGCCTTCTCCGTTTTCACCCAGAGCAACAGCCCGAAGGCCGCCAACTCGGACGTTCATGGGACAGACTCCGCCTGAAACCTTAACCTCTTTTCAAAAGTTCTCTATTTATAACCTACAGAAGTGAGAGACGCGTAATTCCCGCTTAAACAAGTGCCTTTTTTTAACGAAACCCGATCGTATCATAGAAAATGATGAACAGCCCGGCCGGTGTGGCTCAGAGATTGAGCACTGACCCAGGAACCAGGAGGTCGCCGGTTCAATTCCCGGTCAGGGCACAAGATCCCCAGCAGGGGGCGAGCAGGAGGCAGCCGACCCATGACTCTCCTCATTGATGTTTCTCTCTCTCTCTCCCTCCCTTCCTCTCTCTGAAATCAATAAATATATATATATATATATATATATTTTAAAAAGACAGAGAGAATGAGTGGATGAACCTGGAAAACTAAAGAACGGCGTTCTTACTTGGAAAGCGTCTTTCAGAGCCGGGCGGTGTCTTGGTCGCGAGTAGAAAGCGGGGCCACAGTGGCATTCATTGTCCAGTGAGCTCGTCCACACCGTTCAACCCACCGACAGCAATGAATGTTGATTGTGGCCTTTGACACGGTCGCCCCGCCCGGCGGGTCCCGCTCCGGTGCCCGGTCTCCGGCGGACTCTTTAGCCGTGGAGCAGGTGACGGTTAGCCGTAGGGTACAATCAACGGTCGATGGTTTTGACTTTAATCCCAAACTCACCGACAGCGTTGAATGTTCACCGAAGCTACCTCAGGCTCGGAGCTCGGCGGCCTTTCCAGCCTCCGCAGGAATCGTGAGGGATGGGGCCGGGGCTGGGGGCGGGACGAACAGCAGGGCAGCCTGGTGCGCCCGCTTAACGCATTCAGGAATACTATGCAGCTGTCAAAAAGGAGCTCTTACCTTCCGAGACACCGCGGAGGGACCTGGGGAGTGTGATGCAATTGGTACAGTCCCCTAAAAATTCTTAATTAGAAACTACTGAGCAATCGTAAACGAAGGAGCCAGCTCGACACATTTTTCTCAGCTTGTGGCACGAAGGTTTTTCATTCCTACTGCGAAAGGCAAACAAGGCCCACGTGCTCTACCAAAGCATTCGCTTCCCGCCTGTCTGGATATGAAAACCCCTACTCTTTATTTTTCATTCTTTTCATATCCCCTTTCTCCAAGAGTGTTTTGTAACCTACGTCGATTTTTATTTTTACTTATTTATTTTTTTAACTCTCACCTGAGGATTTTCTTCCCATTGCTTTTCAGAGAGAGCAGAAGGGAGAGAGAGAGAGAGAGAAACGAGCAGCGATGTGAGAGAGACACATCCATCGACGGGATGCCTCCTGAACCCTGAGCGGAGCTGGGGATGGAGCCTGCAACCCAGGTCCGTGGCCTTGACCGGAATCGAACCCAGGACCCTACTGTCTGAGGGCTGACGCTCTAACTACTGAGCTAAACCAGTTAGGGCTCTATGTTTATTTTTAAAAATCATTACTAACGCTGTTAAATACATTTTTAGATCACTTGCAATAATTTTCTGTCATCGATCTTAAAAAAGTCACTTTGGATGCATCAAAACCAAGACCAAAAATATCACTATTTCATGCAATGAACGGGCGTCCGATGCGGTTACAACTCTCGGACAACCCACAGTGATTTGGGATCCTAATAGGAAGGTGGCCGAGGTCTCTACAACCAACCTTCTAGGTCTCGACCTAGAAGGGAAATTTTTTACCCTAAATTTTTACAAGTTCAAACATTCCATTCCGAATATTTTAAAGCCCCTCATTGTTTAATATTTCCTAGGCATTGTTTACATGGAACCTGATTTTCCAGGAAAAGAGGCTTCCGGGGCCTACGGGGCGTATGTGCCTACGTAGCGAGATGTCAGCTTGTCTTGGAATACAAAGCGGCGATTCGTCTGAATTTTGCTGTTTAACTTTTTTGAAATAAGCAGGTTTTGTTCCTATAGAATAAAGCTTTCGGGGGGAGCCCCTGCTCAGCGGGCATTTCTGTGCTGCTGCTGGGGAAGTGTCACCATGGGGCCGGGGACTCACCTGCTGGCTCCACCTAAGACCACGGGGGGCAGGTCACTGGGGCCCGCGTCCGCCTGCTGGGGCGTCAGTGTCAGGTCAACACCCAGCGGCGGCTGTCCCTCCCGCCTGCTGACACTGTGCAACAGGGATGCTGTGATGAGAGACTAATTGCCTATTTCGGATTAACACCAAGTAGGCACTTACCCTACGAGTAAGCAAAGCTCGGGGGCGGTTGCCGTTCCTGGCGACCCATAGCGGGTTCCTGTTTGTTTTCGGGAACCCTTCCCCAGGAGTCCCTTGCAGGATGTAATTAACATCGTTCAACGTAAAAGGATCCACTTACGACCCTAAGAAATCAGATGTCAGTCCCTATGGTCCCCGACTTCCTTCTTTCCCGGGACTAACCCAGAGACGGGAGCTTGCTGAGGATACAGCAGCACCTCGGAGCAGCTTAACCGTCTCCCGCGGCCGGACACCGGGCCCGCCGCTCGCCTGCAGCCCCGCGTCCGAGAGCAGGGCGAACGCTCAGCCCCGTCGCCGGAGCTCCTCTGGTTCCGCGTGGGGAAGTTATTCTACCTGCTGCTGCGCCCTGGTTTTCTGCTAATTCGCGTGGGCTTTCCTCACATTTTCAGGCCTTCTCAGGTCTGCCTTTATTTTCGTGACTCGGTCCCCGGCTACAGGACATTCATCTTCAAAACCCTGAGATGCGGGGGAGCTGAGATTTTACGTTTTCCGTAGAGGGCGCTGTGCAGGGTTCCAGAAATCTCAGGGGATGGTAGCGATCTCCATTCTCGCTCAGCTTTCCCTGGACGAGCCAGGCCACAAGCAATAGCCCCTTTCCGGGCGGATGCCTCGCTGTGCCCCTCCCCGTAATTTCCGAGGGTTGCGTGAGCAGAATAAGACCCGACGTGCATCCCCGGGAGATTTCTCTTAGTTCTGACTTCTCCCCCGCTCGGCCTGGGAGAGCGCGAGGCATTTCGGTTCTGCTTACGGTCAGTGGGTCATAAATAAACCAAAGCAATTTCTTTGCCTCGAGCAAGAGGATCAGAGGATACGCGAAACAGCGCTTTTCAAAGGCGGCCAGCCTAACGCGAAGGGACAGGGGAGCAGGGGGAGCCGCGGGGCGGGCCCGGGCGAGGGCCACGGGGAGCCGGGCGCTGACGTCTGTCTCAGGCACAGGCCCCTCTCCTGCCTGGTGACCTGCGCTTGACGTAAGTGACGCTCCGCCGGGCCTTCCGGAGGGCAAGCGCGGGAAACAGAGCATCACCCGCCCGTCCCCAGCCGATGCCTTGGCCCACATCGAGCTGTGGGCACTGATGCGGGCACGAGACTCCGTTCATTCTCCGCCCCGGTTAGTTCGAGCATTTGAGGGGCAGCGCACCGCCGTGGAGAGGTCCGCGGCTTACCCCGTATCATTTTCTGTTCGAGGAAACGAATCGTGGAAAAGATCCCACTGCACCCTGGAAGGAAACAACACTCTCTCTGAACCTCGAAACGAACGAGGCGCCAGCTTGACCCCCTTCTGACGTCCGTTTCCACTTTCCCGGAGGGTTCCCTCCTCCACTCAGGACGCAGAACCCCACGACGCGCTCCGGTGCTGGCCCCGCGCCTTACGGGTGACACAGGTGCACAGCCGGGTGACACAGGTGCACAGCCGGCTACACAGGCGCTCGTTCGGGAGGTGACACCGGGATCATCGGGGCCCCGGCTACAGGCCAGGCGCACCCAGAGCCAGAGCGCGTCCCTTACGGGCCGTAGGCCGAGGGCCGCAGTCCCGGTTTTAGAGCAGCGATAACGCCCCTCACATTTTCCGGGCTGCGTTCAAAAGTCGGCCGGCGACCCCGAGCCTCGCAAGCTTCTCGACGTCATCTCCCGCTGCTGATGGCATCCGCATGCCTCGCGATTCCTGGAAGACGCTGCGGACGTCCTCCTGGCCGCGGAAGCTGTGCAGGCATCTGCTCTTTCAATCAGCCTGCGCGAAACAATGTATATAATACAAGTGTGTTTCCCGTGAGCTCGGCGGAAACACCGGCTTTGTAATAAAAGGAATGTTCGAAGGAAGAAAAAACAGTAAATAAAAAAAATGCATCACAAAGGACAACCTGGGGGGGGAGGGAGGGTGTAAAAAAAGAACTTCCGATACAGAAGTAGTCACAACCTTCCGGGTTTCTATTCTACAGAGAAATTTTAAAATTAATGAGATTAGCAGGAGCTGGCAACTTTAAGAACACGGCTGCATTTTTACTAAAAGCTTCTTCCTTATGGCTTTCGTCTTAATTCGAAAACCAGAGCTGGAGAAGATGAAAGTTTACACAGGTTTTCGATACTGAGTTCCGATAACTCGCTCCATGGATTTTGGTTCACTCCGGCACAGTCTCCTGCATAAGGATTTCTCTTTAAGGAAGAATAATTGGAAGGAGTTGGGGCCGGCGAGAGCCTTACCTGGTGCGGCGGGCAGGCCGCTGTGTTCTCTCCACGGGTGACTTGTGGGCTCAGACAGGGTTCCAGCCAAAAGTCAAGAGCCCATTAGGGCTACGTATCGTATTGCCCAATAAATCTTAAGAGAATAAAATACCTCAGCACAAGCTATTCATCAAACCCACGCCACCTGATATGTTTGGATTAATTGCCTAACGGACTCATGCGTTGAATTGGAATCCTGATTAATGGCCTCTTCCAGGCCTGAGAGTCTGTGATTTCCTTTCTCAGGGTTTTATTCTACTTTTAATTTCCTTAGTCCAAGAGATTAATTCTATAGGGCTTACTGAATATTTCCTTCTTTCTACATATTTAACAAACAAACAGGCCCAAACCCTGTATTTAGTTAACAACTCACAGTGCTTTTTTCTTTTAAGAAATATTAACAGAGCGGCTTGTTCCTGGAACAATAGGACCGTGGGGCAGCTCGAGTCGCTGAAATCGTAATCGAGGGGAGAAAAGACAAAAGGCTTCATTCAGGGGTTACTTTGTGTTTGTACCAACTTACGAGTGTTCCTGATTAAACGTGTAGCAATAATCCAGATACTGTAGCAATTTTAAACCACTCATTATTTTCTTTATAACTGTTTCTCCTCCCCAAACAGAAATTATTATATGTTAAAATACAGAGAGAGAGAGAGAAAGTGAGTCCACAGTAAGCAAAAGAAAGTTTCCTTCCACTCAAATGGTCACCTCTTCACTGTTGGGTTGCTTTCCTTTCCTTTTGTGTTTTTTAAATAATTTTACGTTTCGATTACAGTTGACATTCAATATTATTTTGTATTAATTTCAGGTGTACAGTAGGGCACAGTGGTTAGACAATCCCACACCCCTCAAAGTGTTCCCCCCAATATTTCCAGTACCCCCCTGGCCCCACACATAGCACAATATTGTTGACTGTACCCTAAATTCCTGTGACTGTTTCTAACTATCAATTTGTACTTCCCAGCCCCTTCCCCATTTTCTTTCCTTTTTTTTTACATTAAGAAATACATATGTAACTTAATTTAAATGTATTTAACGAGATGCTCCTGCGGGATAACCAGCTAATCCGACTGCTCTCGGGAACGACCTACCTCCAGCTGAGCCTCGTTAGCGCAGGTGAACTTCATCTTCCTGGACTCTTTCCAGTCCCGGGATCGACCTGACTCACTGCTTTATCCCACGAACTTGGTGCCATTGGGGAATTTCTTGGAAACTGAGTCATCCTCGAAGAATGGAGAGTTGTCTTGAAGAAGTAGGGTTAAAAAACTAGCAGGGTTGGATGTCAGGGCAATTCTAAGGAAGCTGTGGTCGGTGGCAAGGCCCTGGCTTAGGGTGCCGTCTCCCAAGGCCGTTAGCTCCGAGGGGCCAGCGGAGGTCGGGTGGGTAGACAGGGGTACATTACCCCCAAACCAGTCCATTTCACCTAAATATCAATATTTATTTTAAAAAATCTCAGCAAGTGGAAAATGTGCTCCATGGGCCACTTACACATAAAGACTTATTTACGAATAGTTAAGATGCTGTTCATATTAATATCCTTAAAGGAAGTTACTCTAGTCTTCTTGGTTTTTTGGGTTTTTTTTACTAAATCTTTTCAGAGAAGATATTTTGGCCAAAACCATACTGTTAGAAAGCCATATATATATAATGGTTTTTATTTCAGAGAGAGGAAGGGAGAGGGAGGGAGAGAGAAACCTCACTGATGAGAGTCGCTGATCGGCTGCCTCCTGCACGCCCCCGACTGGGGATCGAGCCCCAACCCAGGCCTGTGCCCCGACCGGGAATCGAACCTCGATCGCCTGGATCCTAGGTCGACGCTCAACCGCTGAGCCACGCCGGCCGGGCTAAAATTGCATTTCTTAATGTTACGTTAGATTTCCACTTATTGCTCCAAAAAAGAAATTCTGACTAGAAAACAACCAAAGTTACCGAAAAGGCTGAGCATCTTCAAAATCGGTTTCAAACCCAGCAACTCCCTGGAGCGACCCCGATAGTCCCTGGCCCCCCCTTCCTCACCCCGGGGAAGGCAGACTTTGCATAAAGAGATTTACAGAGAAATCCCGTCGTTCTGAACCCAGAGCTATAAAAATACTTTATGCTTCAGTCTATTTTCAGGGGGGAAAAAAAGAAAAACAATAATTTTTGGCCATAACCGGTCAAAGAACGCGCCTCAATTCTTTGTTGTTGTTGTTTTAAGGTAACAAAATTAGTTTACTAAGCGGAGTGGGGTTTATTTTTACTTGAATATTCGTTTTTAAAAATTTCTTTCACATTCTCAACTCTGCACTCTGCCCGGTTTGGTGAGGTTACTGGATGACACACACTTTTGCCAACTTACACTGATTTAAAAGCGGCCCTAACAGCCCCCACGCGACGGACCCCACGTGCCAGGCGGCCCCAGTGGACAAGACGAGCCCCCGGAAACAGGTCAACGAGCCCTGTGGGTGCCCGCAGCGCCCAGGCTCTGCCAGCACTGCAGGTTAATATTATCATTCCGTCAGGGATTAAAAAATTAGTACGAAAAAGTTAAAAATGTCCACTGGAGACGAGAGGTACCAACAAATCAGCTCTTTTCTTTCACGGGGAGCAGCCTGGGGCAGAAGCCACGGGCTCCGTTTTCCCGCGGCCTTTAAATAGAGCTTTTCACTTTAGTTCAGACCAGTGTCATTTGGGAGGCACAGTGTTTGTAAACCTCGACGGCCACTAAAGATATCTTAGAGGGACGGACAGTAAAAACTTATTTAGAGGTGCGGCCCTGATGGCGAGTCTGGAAAACTTTAGGGGGAATATGGAAAAAATACACACAGCGTACTGAGGAATAGAAAACAGATGTCGCCTAAAATTCAGCGTATTTATACACTTGTAAATAGTTTATTTTTCCATAACATGGCATTTCTCCTTTGGACAGTGTGTGTGTGTGTATAACGTTATATATATATCACGTTAAATAGGGCGAAGGTATAAAATAATAGTATCTAGACGAGAGAAAGCTCGCTATCCCTGCAGAAACGCAGCGGCTCGTTTCCATATCGGCAGGAAGACCATCGGTAAAGCATTAATCCTTAGAAAGCCTTAACTGTTAAGTCCTTATAATAAACGTCCTTTGAGAAGAATGTCTCCGAATTAAAACGCTTCTCCCTGGTGCCATTTGGAAGGCGACCTGTGCCCCGCGCGCTCAAGTCAGGGCGACGTTCATTTACACGTAAGTCGCTCTGTGAACATAAAGCACTTTGAGGGAAAAATGTTTTGCCTGCAACCCCCTGATGAACACACTTTTTTGTTTTTTTAACCCGAGGATATTTTTTCCGTTGCTTTTTTCAGAGCGAGCGGAAGGGGGGCCGGGGGGGGGGAGAGAGAGAGAAGCAGGGACGTGAGAGGGACCCGTCAGTCGGTCGCCTCCCCCACGCACCCCAGCCAGGGCCCGGCGTCGAGCCCGCCACCGAGGCACATGCCCTGGACCGGAATCGAACCCGAGACCCTCCAGTCCGCGGGCCGGTGCTCTAACCACTGAGCCACCAGCCAGGGCTGGACACGCAGTCCGGCCCTCATCTGAGTCTGGAATAAACCATCTGTTGTCACGTGTAAGAAACGACAGCCCGGCCGGGCGGGGCTCAGCGGTTGAGCGTTGGCCTGGGATCCAGGTGATCGGGGTTCGATTCCCGGTCGGGGCACAGGCCCGGGTTGTGGGCTCGATCAATGACTCTCCCATCATTGATGTTTCTATCTCTCTCTCTCCCTCTCCTTTCCTCTCTCTGAAATCAAGAAAGAAAGAAAGAAAGAAAAGAAAGAAAGAAAGAAAGAAAGATGACAACCAGAAAACAAACCAAATGTGGAGGGTACACTGCAGAGAAAACAAACCAAAAAAAATAAAATAAAATAAACTGGTTTTTAAATCAATCAGATGAATAGAAACCAGCTTGACCGGGTTAACTTGTAAACCAGGGTTAAGAGATAATTTGCTCAGTTTTTCTAGCAAGAGAGAAAGGAGGGTGGAAGTGCAGGATGGGAATTTTTAGCAGCGACGCACCGACAGGTTGCAACACGGGTCCCACCCGGTGACGTGCGTGTTTTGACCGCGGGGCCACGAAGCCTGCCATTTACCCGCCACGGAAGGCTCCCGAGCTCTCTCGTGGCGACGGGAGCACTGGAAAAGATTTTTCTGCGGGCGAAGCGCAGATAAAATGGTCCCTTTGGTCTCGCCACGGACGGAGCCTGCTGTCCGGACGGGAAAAGGCCTTTGTGCTCCTGTCTTAAGCTAAGACAGGCCCCGCTTTCCACCTGAGCCGCGTGGGGAACGTCACATAAAAAGCAAAGAGCGTTTGATCAGCAGAGTGGACTTCCCCCCATTGTTGTTTTAGGGCTACTCCGTGGTTATGCAGTGCTCAAAAAATGCCCCAGAATACACACATCTGGGGTTTGGGTGATGGGCCTTGAACTTCAGATGTCTCGAGACGGGCACTCTCGTAGCATTCGTAGCTTAGAAATTAAAAACACTGTCATTTTCTTCCCTTTTTTCTACAGTTTGCAAGATTAGGGACCTATTTTTTATAAGACTCAGCAGAACACACACACGCTTGACCTCTGGAGGAATCTTAGCAGCTAATCATAGAATAAAATATATGCCACGACCACGGGCAAAGCCACAGTCAATTCTCTCCTGAGCGAGCCTCTAAATTACTGAAAAACTTGGGAAATGTTAACAATTTGGGGCTTGAAGTTGTGATTTTAAATGTATATGTTACATTTTAAGGGCAGGACACGACATGGGAACTTCTCATGGCGGATTCACTGGAAACCAGACGAAAGGAATCAGCTGCTGTGATTTGCAGCCTTGTTGGCTCCTTGCATGAGGCCTGATACCATTTTTTGGGCAAAAACATATATTGTTTTGGGGACCACGGTTTGCCAATGACAGTTTCCGGAATATAGTGAACTTTAGGTCTTAAGCATTTATATTTAGATTCTTTTTAATATTAAAAATGAGACAAGAATCTTTTTTGAAAACCAGACACCGAGTTAGGAATATTTTTGCCAAGACCGAATCTAATGTTATAAATATCATTTCTGTCTATGTCTTTCTTCTGTTATCCTTAAGTCCTATTTCCAGTTTCTCTTCCAGGTGAAGTTTTTGGAGCGATTGAAAGCAGCATGTTGAATGGCCCCCAAAATAACATTTTTATTCCGTCAAATGCATAGTGTGTGTGTGGGGGGGAATCTTGATAACCGACGGCCCGAGCCAGGTTTGAACAGCTAAAGGAAGCCTGTCTTATGCATAAATCACCTCTTTCTCTTCCTTTCTTTCCTGCCTTGCTCTATTTTATTACATCCTGGCATCGCACGCGTCTGAAAGTCCGCGTTCTGACTGAGAATCCTCTGGAACGTGAGACGTGAAGTTAAAAGTAAATGAAAAAATTTTAAAAGCTTCCTCGGCACCACTTCTGGCCCAAATCAAAGTAAAACAATCCAAACCCGCTGGGCATTTCTTCAAAACACCCCTCAGCGGGCAACGCGCGCCGCGGACGCCGAAGCCCCCCGGCCGACTCCGGGCCCAGGCCCCTCTTCTGCGTGTCGGGGGGGGCAGTTCGCAGTCGGCAGGAAAGGGGCCCCTTGGCTGCCTGTGGCCACGTGGGCTCGTCTTTGCCTAACGTTACCCACCCGGGGGTATTAATGACGAGGGAGCGTAGCCCCCCGAGAGCTTTCCAGGGCGCTCTCTGNCCCACCTGCAGAGCCGGCCGTGTCTCCGTCGCGCAGGCGGTTCCTTGGCCACCAGGGGCTCGCCGCTGGCCGTCGCCCAAACCTGCGCAAAACACAGGTGACGTGTGAAGACGCCGACACAGAGAAATAACTCTGCTTATCGATTCTAAAGATAACCTGCCCACGAAGGTCCCGGCTCCACGCCAAGAGGGGCGCGGAATTTCCCACGATTCAGGGCGAAGGGTTGACAAGCGGATTGCAGTCAACCCCCCGAGAAAGGCGAATGGTGTCCGTGGCCACAAACGACAACCACAGAGAAGACACCGGGGATTTTGTCTCTGATTTAAGTTTTTTTAATTTTTTTTAAAATGCATGTCAAGATCTTTCTGGAATCCATAGTTGCTAAGGGTTGCCAGGCCCAGGCCGGGGCCAAGCGCCTCCAAGAGCCTTCGGGAGCAGTGAGGACACTCGAGCCGGGGACCGCGCAGTGGCTGCTCAGACCCCACGCTCCCGGTTACACCCTCGGCGGGCCCTCGAGCATCCCAACCCTGCTGGGAGGCGCAGTGTCCCCGGTCATCCCAGGAGCAGCAGAGCGAACGCGACCGACCGCGCAGGTGCGGACAGAATCGGGGTCCCTGAAAACGGCTCAGAAACATCCCTAATCTGAAGGGGACACCGGAGCGAACAGCCCCGAGAGGAGGAGGCGTGCGTGATTATTTTAAAATCATCAGCTATTAAATTACGAGGGAGGCGTAATCACCCTGAGTGGAAGATTCCAGAAGAGATAATTAAGCAAAGAGAAATATTAAATCAAATTGGAGATGAAGGCAAATAAAAATATACCGTGGGGAACGGTGCTTAGGTTTCGGAGGAAGGGTAGGAATGAGGGGGGAATCAGGAAATCGGTAAACTCAATAAAAACCGTGTGTCGTTGCGTTTTCGCGGAGTTAGTTACGCCCTGAACGAGAGGGACCCTCGACCTGCTCCCCGGAAAACCGGTTCAGCGTCAAGGGGATCCCTGGAAATCTCCGTGATGAATAAGGTAATGGGGGGGTGCTGGTAGAATTCATTTCACTCTTTCTTTACATTTTTTTCTTTATTTT